ACTTGGGTGGGCTGTGGAGGGCATCTGGTGGCCTGATTCAGTGGCCCTTTTCCTGGGCTTGTGAGACAGACAGGGGATGTCCATTTGCCAGTAGATGGGATTCTGGCTGTACAGAGTAAGGTTAGTCTGGGAGAGGGAGGCTTCACGCATGCCCTGCTCCACTCACGGGGAGTTGGCCCCTGGGAGTGCGGCAGCAGGGCTCCCACGGGAGGGAGGGGCAGCCCTTGTCTCCACGGCTCCCGAGGGGAGGAGCTGCACACAGCTCATTTTCTTTCTTTCCTGAAGTGACTGACACAGAGACGATGACGCTGGTCCCAGTGAAGGTGCCGTCTCCCGTCCCTGGGCAGAGCAGCCAGGGTGCGTGTCCATTCCTCCAGCAGCAGGTCAGCTTCCTGGTTCCCTTTAGGCGACCAAGTGAAACAGCAGACTGGGGCCTCATCATTCAGCCCATAAACTATTGATTGTCTCTGTTCACCCATCCGTCCACCCACCTGTCAGTTCTCCCATCCACCCTTTTATCTGTTCATCCATCCATCCAACCATCTGTCCCTCCACCAACCCATAAAATCATCCATCTATCCATGTATTCACCTATCCAACGCTTCATCCACTCACCCACCCACCCACTCATCCATCAATGCATCCACGTGCCAACAACCCATCCACTCATCCACCCACCCACACAATTCATCCAACTGGCCACTCATCCATCTACCAATCCATACAATCACCCATCTGTCCATGCATTCACCTACCCAACAATTCTTCCACTCACCCAGACACTCATCTATCCACTCACCCACTCATCCATCAATAGATCAACCAACCCAACAATCCATTCACTAATCCATCAACTCATCCATCCATCCATCCACCTACCCATCAATGCTTCCACCTTCCAACAATCCACCCACTCACCCACTCATCCACCCACCACCTACTCATCCACCCACCCATCCACTCCCCACCCACCCATCCACCCACCCATCCACTCCCCACCCACCCATCCACCCACCACCCAGTCAATCCATCCATGCATCCGCCCGCCCACCCACCTGCCCAACGCATCAATGCATCACCTACCCAACAGTCCATCTCCTCATCCGTTCAAACGTCCATCCACCAACCACTCCTCTATCCACTCAAACATCCATGCATTGATCCATTCCATTACCCAGACATCCAAACATTCATTCAGTCATTCATGCAGAAGGGAGTTGATTGACTGCTTAGTCCTATAGGATGGCTGTAACCGTGAAGCATAAGGAAGAGAACAGGGTGGCCGCATTCTTCACTCTTCTGTGCCTTGGACTCCACCAGAAAAGAAACACAACAAGCAAGCCGGCCAAGACTCAGGCAGGCCAAGCCCAGAGCGCCCCAGGAGCTACGGAGGAGGGCTGGGGTGACCAGAGCAGGAGGGGAGTGGCGGCCGCTCCGAGGTCATCCCCTCGGGGACCTGCAGGAGGAGGAGGGGTGAAGCCTGGGGAATCTGGGAGAGCAGCAGCAGCCAGCGCAGAGCCCTGGGCAAGGGTGACCTTGTTTCGCTTGAGGAGTAGAGAGAGGGAAGCCGTGAGGCTGGTGCTTCCCCAGCAGGAGGGTGGCTGGTGGGTGACGAGGGTGGAGAGGGGACGGTCCCATCTGCACAGGAACTTCAGGACAGGACAGAGTCTCCTACTTCATTCTAGAAACGGTGGGCATCTGTTGGTTGTGGTGCAGGAGTGACACCACTTGAATCGTGTCTCGGAAAGGTCGCCGTAGATTTTCACTGAGCAAACACTGCCTGCGTGGTGAATTTACCCAGGAGCCACAGACGTTGCAGCTACAGAAGCCAAGAAGTGCAAACTGCGGGACGGTCCTTGGCCACTTGGCTTCCCCTGGTGCAGTTGAGGTCCGGCTCCATTGAACACCAGGGAGACCCATGCCTGTCCACGACAGCGGGGTCCTGCCCACAGCGTGCTGCCCTCGGTGGCTCTCCCAGGGCCACTCCTCAGCCCGGGCCTCGCTATCCTGGTTCAGAGTCTTCCTGATTATTTAAAAAGAAAAACTCATGGGACTGGAAGTGGAGTTGGGGAGCCAGAAAGCAGCAACGGAAGGCAATGGTGGGAGACCCACGTCCAGTCTCCCGGATCTTGGTGTGGCCTTGTGGCTCCGCCCCCCCTCCCTCTGCGTCCCTGTCCTGCGTGTGGCTCAGTGATGACATCGTGCCTCCTCCCAGTTTCCAGAGCTGAAGAAGACACCCAGGGCCGAGGCCTGCACCGTGGCGTCTTGCCAGGGACAGCTCTGCACTCCGGCCTGACCACAGGTATTGGGACGCCCACTGGGCTTACTCTGGGATGGCTAACTGTGGAACTCGCAAGTCTAGGATTTCCGGAGGCCGCCACGTGGCGTGGCTGTGCCTGAGAAGGGTGCTTGGGGCCGATGCAGAGACGAGAGGAGGGGAGAAGAGCGTGCGGGCGCGGGCCCGCCCAGGGCATCCACTTCAGAAGCCGAGTGACCCTGCTTGTGCCGTCCCAGGAGCCACAACATCCTGCCCTCTGCTGGCCCCAGTTGTGTCCTCGTCCGTTTAAAGATGCCTTGAAGATTCTCTCCACAGCAAACAGCAGAACAGGACACCTGCCCTGCCCTGCCCTGGGCCTCGCGCCCCAGACACAGAATGGGCTCCCTGGCAGCACCGCTGCCGCCCAACCCTGCACAGCCCGGGACGAGGCCTCGGCTGAAGAGTCAGGCTGAGGTCTCGCTGGATCGGGGTGGACCCTGACCTGGTGGCCTGCGTCTTAGGACAAGAGGACCCATTTGGACACAGATACATGGCCTAGAAGCCTCATGAAGATGGGCAGCGGGTGGAGGGTTACAGCAACGCGTCCACCAGGCCGACAGGAGCTGCGGAAATAAGGGGAGGGGCGTGGGGCTGTCTGCCACCCTGCCCGCAGCCCGGCATCAGCCTGCAGCCTCCAGCCCTCTGCGAGAACCAGTTCCCCTGTTGTAAGCAGCCCAGCAGTGGTGATCTGCCATGGCCGCCCTGGGAGAAGGCCACACCTCCCTAAGTACGTGGGCCTCTGTACCCAGTGCTAGCGTTCCCTGTTCCTACCTACTGCTCACTGGCAAACAGCCCGCACGTCCCTACACAGGTGTCAGCCGGGCCAGGTGCAAGGAAGGGGCTGGATCCCGACCGGGCCCTGCAGGCACCAGCTCCGGCTGAGTCTGGGCCCCTGGCCTGCGGGACCTGTCCCCACGCCACCCCTCGAGGGCCCATCCAGACCTGCAAATGGCCAGTCCATTGCAGACTGCTGGCCGGGGGACCTGAGGGTCCCTGGGCGACTTCCTTGGTCTGCTCACATGTGTGTGGCGGCTCCGTGGCTCGCTGCAGTGACGGCTACAGGGACGGCGGGAGCGAGAGACTGCGCCCAGGCAGCACCACATCAGTGACTAAGTCTCAGTTCTGAGCTTCCCAGAGGGAACGAGAACAGCTCTGCCCCTCGCGCGCCCCGGGAGTAAAGTGGGTGTGACACTGAAGGTGACACAGGCTGTGCCGTGGGTGGACGTTCCGGGGAGGCCCCGGGCTGGTGCACACTGTGGCAGCTGTCCAGGCCCTGCAGGACCAGAGGCTGGAACTGACATGTGGGTGTCCTGACCCCAGAGCTAGGCTGTGGCTGTGTTTGGAAACAGGGGCTTTAACGAATTAGGACAAGGCCACTCCGGAGCTGGCCGACCCTGATCCAAGGTGCCTGACGTCCTTAAAGAGAACGCGTGCCCGCCGGGGGCAGGCAGAGACAGGGATGGCAGCCAGGGAGGACGGCCAGCCAACAGCAGGTGCTGGCAGAGGCTCAGGTCAGATGCCCGTGCTAAAAGCTCCCAAATGGGGCCGACCTGCTGAGGCCGCGACCTCAGATCGGTGAGAACACGCTTCTGCTGCCCGGAGGTTGGTGGCTGCTATGTCTGAGGTCCAGGGCCCGGCCAGGGAGCAGCAGGAGAAGCAGCGAGAGTGGGGGCTGCACACGAGGGGCGTTTCCTGCCGAGCGTGGGAGCAAGCCGCGGCCATGGGGGCGGACAGCTGGCGTGGATGAGTGGACGTGGCAGGTGTGCGGTTCCATGGTCAGAGGCATGCCCGGCAGGGGTCTCGCAATGCATTGCTTAGCGGGGGACAAGGGGACACACAGATTGAACTGTCCCCAACCACGCAGCACCCCCTCCTGTCCCCCACTTGTGGGCAGAGCAGTGAGATGGGGGGTGGGACTGGGACTTCAAGCCGGCGGCCCCGGTGGGGGAGGGGACCCCGCCCTCAGCCCCATGGGCAGCCCTGTTCCACCCACATGCGTGGGTGTCCAGGGGACAGGAAAAATCCGAGTCTTCCAGGGGCGCTCTCTGAAGTGCTACCGCCGGCTCCAGCTCTCTTGGGCCACCTGGAAGTGATCTTGTTTGTTGCCCGCTCCCAGGGCCGTGAGTAAGGCCTCTGAGGGAGGCGCGGCTGCTGCTCCCCGCTCTCCCTCGTCCCTCGCAGTGGCTCTAGGCACACAGGGGCCCCGACGCTCGCCGCTGTTTCCACGAACAGGAGGACCCAGGGGCTTCTCCTCAGGTGGAAGTGCCTGGGGCTGCTGCGGAGATCAGCCGTGGACCCCAGCCCAGTCTGTGCGCAGGGACCGTGAGGCCCCAGGGAGAGACAGGGCGCCGTCCTCGCTCGCATCTGGAGGGTGGCTGGGGTGCACCAGCCCACCACCAGTCAGGATTTTAGGAGAGGACTGCACATGCGATGCATTTGCAAATAAATGCCTTCCTGTCCTGCAGGACAGACCCGGTGCACAGTGCACTTTGCCACGATGAGCCAACATTGCCTCCATGCACCGCCATGCACCCAGCCCCCACGCAGAGCGGCACTGCACCGTGTCGGGGTCTGACTGGATTGGGCTGGGGTCCTCTGATGTCGTCCTGGCCATGGCAGAGCCTTGGCCATGGACGCCAGCCCCGAGGAGGGGTCTCCGTGCAGAAAGACAAAGCACAACCAGTGAGGCCCTGAATGCAAACTTTGTATTTACAGCCCACGAGTTTATAAATATCTGTTACATTCTTACAATCTACAGTAGCTCTGCAGCTGGCCGGGGAGCCACTCCGAATGGAATGGAATATCGTAGGGGTCAGAATGGGACCATGAGGGGACCACTGGACGCCAACGACTATCCCTTGAGAGGAGTGACAAGTTGGTCACCCAGCCGGCCAAAGTGGGTGAACGTGGGGAAGGCAGCAGGTCACTGGTGCACCGCATCTCGGAGCCAGCAGGTGGCACCGAGGGTGGAGGGCAGAGCCTGTGGTGGGAAGGGGAACCAGGGTAATTTGTGCACCCTCAGGATTCAGCTGGAGAGAGGTGGAGGGGAGGAAACAGAAGGGGAGGAAGAGGGAGAGGATATGGCGGACAGACAGGTTCAGACAGAGACACAGAGACAGAGAAATTAGAAAGGAGATCTAAGGAGCAGAAGAGAAAGAAAATGACACAGAGGAAAAGCAGAAACGGAGACAGGCTCAGCAGCACGGCCCCGGCCCCGGCCCCCACCTTTCCCAGGGGCGCCTGGAGCTGACCGTCAGCCGGCCCTGCACCCTGCCTGGCAAGACTCCCGGGAACCCTCCCGTCTTTCCTCCCCTCCGGCTCTGCCGGCTCTGCGCCTGGGGAAGTGCATACCCGTCCGTGAGCCCCCATGTGAAGCGAGGCTCAGCTTCCCGGGGCGGACTGTGGGCCCAGGGCTGTGTCCGCTGCCTCCCCACCACAGTCGCTGGTACAGCGCCTTCCTCCGTGTCTCCAAGGTGGAGATGCCCGTCTTGTCCACGCAATGGGGGCAGGCTGTCTGCTGCCGGCCTCTCACACCCCCAGAGCCCCAGCTCTGTGCCCCTGCCGTGCCCTGCAGGACACCCCGGTTTGTCTCAAGAGCCCGACAGACAGGAGAGCTGGCCAGGGTGGCCCCAGCCCTGCTGCACACCGGCCCTCCTCGTCCCGGACAAGCCAGGGGAGCTTGGTGCTGACTTTGTGGTGAATTCTGCTGACTCAAAGTCAAGTCCACCAGCGCTGGCGTCTGCCGATGGTCCCCTGGGAGTGGACACAAACCCTGGAGGGAGGAAGGGGCTCAGGGGAGGCTGGACACCGCCCACCCTCGCCTCTGCCTGCTGGCTCTGGGAGGTGGCAGCGGAGGGGAGGCTGGTGCACTTCACGCAGGGGGTGTGTGCTGCACGGAGCCTGGTTCTTGGAACCGGATGGAACTCTGCCCTCCCTCTCTCCAGGGAGTGGCAAGTTCTGGGTGTGTGGTTACAAAGATTCTGGTGACCCTCCCAGTCCCCGCTCTGCCCCTCGGTGACCCCCATGATGGGGAGTCGGAAGCTGACAACCCGCCTCTCCAGCTGACCCTGGAGCCCCAGCCCTGCCTCTGACCACGCTCTCTCTGGGCAAGGGGCCGCTCCCATACCCAGGACGCTCCCCCCCGCCCCGAGCCCCGCCTTCTTCCCTTGTCTGCAGCCCCCTGGGACAATCCCCCACAGGGCGGATTCAAGAGAGGGACAGTGCACTCTTCCAGGCAGCTCCCAGGAACCCGGGGGCTCCGAGCTCGCCCTGCTGCAAGTCTGAGCGATCTTGCCACCACACAGGTTGAGCCTTGAACCTCTGGGCAAGACGCTGGACGTCCAGTCTGCACCCCCGGGCTTGTCTCTGGGGCTCAGCCGACAGTGCCACCCGCGTCACGTCCTGTCACTCCACGTCTCTCCCGCGAGCACCCCGGCTACACGTCCCGGGAGTCAAGGCCCCAAGGTGAACGAGAAGGAGCGTCCACACGTGTGCAGCTCACACGGCCTCCCGTGGCCTCGCCGGGCTGTCGCCGGGGCCCAGGGCCTGGCACGCCCACTTCAGGTCGTCCTCGCTCCCCGTACCCGGAGCGCTCGGCGGGGTGAGGGCAGTGAACGTGCTGAACCTCACTCTTTTCCTCCTGGAGGCCGGGGATGCGAGGGGCTCCCCTGGCCCCGTCCCGTCGCCGCCGCCGGCTGCCGGGGGCTGCAGCAGCTGCCCGTTGAGGCCCCCCTTCTGGGGGTCCGTGCTGAGCAGGTACTTGCTCTCCTCCAGGTCAAGGCCCTGGTCCAGGCAAGTCACCTGCTCCAACTGGGGGCTGGCGAAGTGCACGTGGCTCCCGAGCGGCTCGGTGCGGTGGCTCAGGCCCAGCCAGGCGTGCGAGTGGCTCAGGCCCTCCTGTTCCTCCACGGGCACCTGCTTGTGCCTGTACCGGAGGGCGAAGGTGGCGCAGTTGGCGAGGAAGACGACGATGGCCAGGCAGAAGACGCCCAGCAGTGCGTACATGCCGATCTCCAGGTCGCTCAGCCCCTTGGACGCCTGCAGGGGGTCGCTGTCGTCCACCTCCGCGCCGCCCCCGGGGGGCTCCCCTTGGTCTGGGGAGCTGGCCAGGTCCGTGGGGAAGGCCTGCCAGTGGCCGCTGTTGCCGTCCGTGGGGCTCCCCTGACCCCTCCCCCTCCAGAAGGTGGCCCGCTCGGTGGTGGCGCCCCTGCCTTCCGTGAGCCCCCGGGAAGAGCTGCCGTGGTGCTGCCCCTCCGGCCGCCCCCACTCCTGCTGGGGTCTCCTGGGTCTTCGGTCACTGATGCCGGTTTCCAGGCGAGCCCCTGGCCCCGGCTGTCCGCTGTTGCTTGTGTTGGGGGTGGCGTCGTTTTGGCCGAACTTGACCCTGACGCTGGCGGTCCCCACGGCCAGGATGCTCTTGCGCTTGGACTTCTGGCACGACTCGCTGATGGCCATCTCCACTTTCACCAGGGCGCCCTGGCCTTCCGTCTCGGCCGCGATGACCGGCCACTGGGCCTTGGGGTCTTGGCGGATGGAGACCACCTTCTCGTCCAAGGACGTGACCAGCAGGGAGAAGTCTTTTCCATCGTAAATGTCCAAGGGGGTGACGGAGCCGTCGCTGAACTGAACCCAGCAACTGATGGCTGCTTCCTGTTGGGTGAGATTGATGGGTCAGTCAGTCAAAGTGGGCGGGACCCAAGTGAGCACCAGGTCTCAATAGAACAGGCAGACGGCGGCAGAAAGCACGGCTCAGGAGCCAAGGGGGCGTCCACACAGCGTGCAGACAGGAGCCAAGGAGGACCAGGGGCGGAGAGAATTCTCAGTGACATACGCGGCTGCAGTGCAGCGCCAGCGCCCCCTAGCGGGAGCTGCTGTCTTCCCTAGCGGTGTGAGAGCAGCCCCGGGCGGGCAGGGCCCACTCTGCACAGTCAGCAGCTGCGTGTCTGAGGCCATCGCTGGCCAGCGGGGCTGCTTACGAACTCTACGTCTGCAAACGAAAATTCCGTGCTCCCTTATTCTCGGGTGGCCTGAACCCCAAGTCCCGCTTCCGTATCACTGATTGAAGACCCTCGATTCGACCAGGACGCCCTGGGTGTCCCTCCCAGGGGATTTGGCTGTCCTGGGTCTGCAGGGAGGGGCTCGTTCTGAGCCGGGGTACAGCTCGGCTTGGGGGTGAGGAGCTCAGGCAGCCGGGCGCAGAGCAGGGTCCTGGTTGGGGCTCTGTGGGTCTGCCTGCACCTGCACACCCCGTCCCACCCGCGGGAGGATTTGGGAGCCAGAAAGATGGCTGGGCCCAAGGGTGCTGCAGCCCCAACCTCCTGGCTTCTGACTTTGCTGCTGCAACCAGCTTGCTCTGTGAGCCCCTGGAGACGGACCCCAGTCTAACACAAGTGAAGACGTCACCTTGCCAGGCAGTCAACTGTGGGCCTGCTGCTTCCGCCCTCTGCCCACCCTCCTGGAGAACCTGCCTCACCCTGAACCCAGATCAAGGAGCCAGGCAGACAGCTGCTATGGGAGCGTTCATCTCCACAGCGCCGAGCCTGCCTCTGCTCGCTCCCTCTCTCGCTCTCTCTCTCTCTCCCTCTCATTTGAAAGAAGAAATGCATCAGGGAAGTCCTACGTGGGAGCAGCCGTGCGACCACATATGGGGAAGAGCCTGGGCTTGGCTGATGAGCACTTGTGCCACTGGGCGGTGGCTGGGGCCGGCTGCTGGCCGGAACACCCCGTGGGGACACGGTGCAGAAGCCAAGGGACGGGACACGTGTGCAGGGAACTCCAATGTGTTCTGGGTGCTACGAAGCCACACAGGGGGTGGCGTCACGCAGGCCCGCGAGGGAGCAGGGCTCGGGGCCGGGCGCTGAGTAGCTCTGCGTGCCAGGAAGGGGGTTGCTCTCTGGCCTTGGCCTGGCTGTGTCTCACGTGGTCACCTGACTTTGTCACCCCGCTGAGACGGGAGGAGGCCTCCGCTGACTGCCCTGTGCCGTCTGAAGCGCACATCCTGGCTGGCCCCGTTCCTGGAGAGATAGAGGCTTGCGCTCCTGAGCCCCTCGCTTTCGGGGGTCTCCGAACCCCAGGTAAGGGGACGGGGCCTCGGCGGCAGGGACAGGCAGGGGCCGGGGGGCTCTGTGCCCCGCGCTGCTCTGGATGAGCACACACGAGTTTCTGTGAGGAAGGGGCGATGGGGGCCAGCACTGTGGGTGCCTGGCTCGTGCCTGGAGCCAATCACGGGTGTGGCGACGCCTTCCTCTGCTACCCGCCCCGTCCCCGACCTGCTGTCAGGGCCCCCAGGACTTGGCCTCACTGTCAGCCTCCAGGCACAGCAGGGCCAGGGCCAGGGCCAGGGCCGTCTGCACGGTGCAGGGAGGGAGTGCGCACGGCCAGGGCCAGCCTGCGGCACCGCCAGTGTGGCACGCGGGACGGGTGCCGGGCTGCAGGCTGCGGTCTCCTGCGGCCTGTCATGGTTCACCTAGCGCAGGACTGTTTCTCTTTTGCATCTCGATCTGGGGGAGCCGGCAGGCGTGGGGCCGAGCTGCTGCCTGTTTCTGAAGCCCCCTGGGAGACAGAAACACTCCCGTGGGAGCTCACCGCCTGGGAGGCCACCGTGATTTGCCTGTTCTCAGTGTCCACGTCCCGGGGGTCACGGGGAGGGCCGGAACACCCCCCGTTTCCACGTCGCGGCCCCCTCACCTGCTTGGGCCTCTGCAGCAGCTCCTGGGCCACGGCTGTGGCAAAGATGGCTCTGTTGCTGCCTGGGCTGAGCTGCAGGGCCAGCGACAGCCCCGTCACCAGCTGCACCCCAAGGTCCGTGATGGTCACCCTCTCGTCCAGCACGGTGACGGTCTTCTCAGCCAGGATGGCGTCCGACAGAGGCGACAGGATCTAGGGGCAGGACAAGGGGAGGTTTCGCGCGGGCCCCGCGGTCCACGGGCGATGCTGTGTGCCTGGGTGGAGACCCGGTCTCACCCGCGGCCTCCTGAGCTGCAGACTCTGCCCCGGGGTGGGGTGGGTGGGGCTCGTTGCCCCTCACTCAGCCCACAGCTGAGTAGACCCTGCCCTGCAGCTCCTCCTCGACGGGGGGCGTTGGGATTTCCATGCATTTCACACCTAACCTTAGGCTGCTTCTACGGCACCAACTGGCAGCCTGCTCCTTCGCCGGAGTCCTCGCCGCTCCCTGCCGCTGGCCTCCTGGGAAGGAGCTGGGTCGGCTGCCCCGTTCAGCCCCCACCACCTGCTCCCCTCCCGGCTGTGCCTCTGGGCTCCTGGGCTCCTGTGCAGGTCACTCCTGGCCCACAGCCCCGACACACGCGGACTTTCCTCCCAGATGAAGCCTCCTGCTTCCCACGCCTGCCGGCTTTCCAGAGTGGCTCTGCTCCACACCTGCCACCGCCCCACGGGGCTCCAGCCTCGAGGACCCCTCACGCCAGCTGCCCGAGCGACCTCAGACCTCGTAGGGCAGGGCGTTGGCAACAGACGCCCTCCTCGTTCTCAGACCCAGCTGAGTGGCCCCAGATGAGAATGGGGTTAGTGAAGGCGCTGGTTTCCACCGGGTGTGGCACACTGTCCCCCAGCGGCCGTGCCACCCGGCCAGCAGAGCTGTGACTTCCTCCCGCCCTCAGCCGATTCCTGGAGGCGCCAGTTCTCGTCCTGCCTGAGGCAGAGGTGGCACAGACTTCCGCCCCTGGAGGCTGTGTGGGGACGGCCATCAGTGAGCTGGGGCGCCGAGGAGCAGGTGGCCCAGGAGGGCAGCTTACTTCCCGTGACAGCGGCTGCTTAGGGGGCAGAGGGTGTGGGAGTGAGCAGCCAGAGGAGCCGGCCTGGGGCTCCTGGCGTGGAGCAGCACGCGCTGGGTGCAGCATCCTGGCTTGCCCTCGCGCCTTCACCCGAGTCCTCACCCCGTCCCAAGCGACGACAGACAGCTGCCTTCCGGCCCTCCTACCTGGAGGGTGGTCATCCCCAGCTCCTGCCCGACCAGGATCTGGCCTCCCTGCAGCGTGGCGACCCTGGGCTCCTCCACCTGCATGAAGTCTCGGACGAGCTCCGTGATGTCCACTTGCCAGTCCGAGCCCAGCAGGTGGGCCAGGTGCCCCCCGGGGCCAGCCGCCTCGGCCACAAACTGCGTCAGGACCCGCACCATGGCGTGCTGGTACTGCAGGGTGCAGCCGCGGCCCCTCCGCTCCTCGTCTTCCTCTTCCTCGCTGTCCCGGACCGGCCTGTCGAACAGTCAGCACGTTAGCAGCCGTCCACTGCCTGGACCGGCTGCCTGGAGCTTCAAACCGCGAACCCGCCTCCGCGGAGCTGCCGGCGTGGCACAGGCATGGGCAGTACAAGGTGCTGGGCCACCGTGGGGCGCCAGTGCCGGCCAGTGGGATGGGTCGGGGTGGGCGACAAGCACAGGTGCACTCTTCCTAGTGGCCGCACCTCCTGGCCGTTCCTCTGTGCCATGTTCTTTCCTCGGCACGGGCTGGCCCTGGTGACGTCACTGCGGCTTCCACCCCGGTTCTATTTCCTTGGTTCTGGGTAGCCTGCCTATGGAGGCGCCACATGATAGAGCATTGGCTCGACCAACAGCCAGAGAGGATCCACAGCTCTCCGCCCAATAGCCAGTGAGGGGGCGGGGCCCTCAGCCTGACAGCCAATGAGGAGGCAGGGCTCTCAGCCAGTGAGGAGGCGGGGCCCTGAGCCCTCAGCCAGTGAGGGGGCGGGGCCCTCAGCCCTCAGCCAGTGAGGAGGAGGGGCCCTCAGCCCTCAGCCAGTGAGGAGCTGCCCCCTGCCAGCAGCCCTGGGAGTGCAGTGACAGTGGCTGCTTCCCGACCTGGGTCCTCAGGTGAGACCACTGCCTGCAGGAGCCCCGGCTCCGAGGCCCCGGCTCAGCCGTGCCTGGGTTCCTGACCCCGGCTGCTCTCTGGTGAGTGGCCTGGGTTCCTGACCCCGGCTGCTCTCTGGTGAGTGGCCTGGGTTCCTGACCCCGGCTGCTCCCTGGTGAGTGGCCTGGGTTCCTGACCCCGGCTGCTCCCTGGTGAGTGGCCTGGGTTCCTGACCCCGGCTGCTCCCTGGTGAGTGGCCTGGGTTCCTGACCCCGGCTGCTCCCTGGTGAGTGGCGTGAAGCTCCGGGGCTGTTTCAGAGCACGGGGGTTTGCCGCAAGCTGAGGGTGGCTCGCTCGCGGGGGCTGTGGGCGACTGGCACAGCCCTGCACAGGCACCCCCGGGGGCTGTGAGTGTCCAACCCCGAGTGAGGTGGGCAGGATCAGGAGGGGTCTCAGTGGGCCCCCACCCCTCCTCTGCTCCTGACCCCCTCAGCTCACTCCCCACCTGGACATCTGCTCTTCTGAGCCAGAGAGCTGCCGTGCCCTCCACCACCGGTGCCATGGCCAGTCCATCCCTGTGGGCTCTCCCGGACCCCACCCTCCCAGCTTGGCCGGAGAATCCCCTGTGGCGCAGCCTTCATCCTGGAAGCCCCTCCTCCTCCCAGGGCCTCCAAGACTACAGGGGATGGGACGGGAAAGTGATCTGTCGGGTGAGATCCGGGAGTACCTCCCTGTCTGAGATCCGGGAGTACCTCCCTGTCTGAGATCCGGGAGTACCTCCCTGTCCATGCGATCCGGGAGTATCTCCCTGCCTGGATGAGCCGGGCACACAGCCCAAGGCGGGCAGGGTCTGTCCCATGCTTGGGTGGACACTGCCCTCCTCCTGGTGTCCATTCTGTGCTCGGGTGGACACTGCCCTCCTCCTGGTGTCCATCCTGTGCTCGGGTGGACACTGCCCTCCTCCTGGTGTCCATGCTGTGCTCGGGTAGACACTGCCCTCCTCCTGGTGTCCATGCTGTGCTCGGGTAGACACTGCCCTCCTCCTGGTGTCCATGCTGTGCTCGGGTAGACACTGCCCTCCTCCTGGTGTCCATCCTGTGCTCCGCAGGACTGCCCTCTTCCCCTAGGGGCCCCAGCTGCAGCTGGGCGCCATGGCAGAGACCTGGGCAGTGCCCCGGTGTGTTCTGTCCACGCGGCCGCAGCGAGTAGACCAGGAGTGGGCACTGGTGTCAAGGCAGGGCTCCCGGCCAGGTCTCTCCCTGCAGGGGTGGGAGCGGGGTGGGGGCTGCACTTGCTGCTGGAGTTGCAGTGGGGGTAGGAGGGAAGTGGGGGACCTCATGAGGAAGCCGGGCTGAGAGATGGGGGAGACTCCGGTCCTCCGTGCACCACGTGAGTCCTGGGGTCCGGGCCTGAGGCGAGCCAGCCTGGAGACGCCCCTCACCTCAGCGGGCCGACACGGACGAGCCACCCACCTTTTGCTGGAGACGACGGGCACCCTCCAGCCCTTGATCTGATTGAGCTCGGTGTCGGAGACCTCGATGTGCAGCGGGAGCCGGGGCGCCCACACCGTCATCCGCAGGGGGCTGCTCAGGTGCTGGTAGGTGAAGCTCACCTCCACGCCCACCTTGCCTTTCATCTCCTTCCCGTTGACGAACACGAAGTCACATCTGTCGGAGACCTGGGAGGGGGCGGAGACGGGGAGGGGCCGCTCAGATCCCCGCTGACCCCGCAGCCTGAGGGGCGGGGCCCAGAGGAGGGAGGCGGGCCTGGTGCCAGTCGGCAACGGTGTCCCAACAGGGCACATCTGGGACTCTGTCCGCGTGACCAGCTAAGGAGCCGCAGCCGGCCAGCCGCGATGGCAAGTCACCGGAAAAGGAAAAGCTTCAACATTTCAGAGGCGCCTGCTGGGAGATAATGGCCACAATCAAGGCAGGTCACAGGTGCAGCAGCTCGCACGGTTACCGTGCGTACATGTGTGCATGCATGTGTGTGTGTGTGTGCATGTGTGCGCGCATGCATGTATGTGCACATGTGTGCATGTGCATGTGTGTGCGTGTGTGCATATGTGTGTGTGTGTGGTGGGAGCCCTGAGTAGCAGGCACCCAGAGCTGGGATTCCCAGCAGTCACCAGGCCGACCTCGAGTGTGCACGCACCCCCGTAGTGGGACTGTGTGCACTTGGACCGGCGTCTCTGTCTCCCCTGACCTTGCCCCCGGCCTCCTGCCCTCTGTTTCTGTGAGTGCGGCTCTCAGAGTTCACGTGTGAGTGAGATCACACGGCATCTGTCCGTGGGGGCCACTGTAGGCAACCTCAGGCCCACCAGGCTCATCCGTCCTGCGTCACACAGTGACTTCCTTCTCTGTGAAGGCGGAACAGCAGGCCGCCGTGTGTGTGTGTGTGTGTGTGTGTGTGCACGCACACGTATGCACACCACGCTATCACCACATGGGTGTTCACAGATGTGGGTGGTTTTCAGGTCGTGCTGTTGGGGAATCACTGCCTTAGGGACCGAGAGATGTGGCGATGACCCTGGTCCCACGTGCACCGCACCCGTCCTCGCGGCAGAGAGGCAGAGGGGCCAGGGCGAGGTTCGGGGCTCCCAGAGGCAGGGGCTGTGCTGCCGGCTCTGATGGTGTGAATGCCCAGGGCTCTGGAAGCGGTGCAGCCCTGCTGGCCTCCACGTCGGCCCAGGGAACCTGCCTCGGGACTTCCGACCTCCAGACTGGGAGAGGAGAACCGGACTCCCCTTCGTCGCCAAGCCTGCGGCGGTAGCAGCAGGAAGCTAACGGGGGGGGGGAGGCAGCTGCGGAGCCAGGACAGCGGCCTCTTGCCCTGGGGCTTCACGGGGAGGGGCAAGGAAGCCACATACAGAGCACCCAGTGTGTGCCCACTCGGCTCGAGACCACCCACACGCAGGCGCTGTGGCTGTCTCACACCAGGGATGGGGACGGGAGGCCTGACGATCTTCAATGGCCTTTTCCAAGGACAATGGCGGGCAGGGGGCAGGGACGGGCTCAGTGCTGGGCGGGCGGCTGCCTCCCCCATGGCAGGTGCGTTGGCCTGCAGTCTTTTCAATGGCCGCCGGGCTCCCTCTGGCACTTAAAGGGGCGTGAAGAAAAGCAGAGCCGCGATGGCCAGGCTGCTCGGACGTCAGAGCAGGCCTCTCCCAGGAAGGTCCCTCTTATCTGCGACGAGGCAGCCAGGACATGGGATACACAAGGGGCTATTGTGAGGCCTGGCCCTGGGGCTGGGGATCAATAACGGAAGAGAACGAGGTCCATTTATGAGCCGGAGGACTCTGTCACCACCACAACCCGCCAGTAATGGGAGCACTTGCGTGCGACTGAACAGCCCGGGGCGACAAGCTCAGCCCCATTATCAGGCCATGTGGCCCGGCCACGGCTCTCCTCGCTGCACAGGCCAGAGAGTCTGCACCGACCCGTGTCCTCTTCCAAGTCTTCCCTGCTACCCTCGGCTGCACCGGCACAGGCCAGTGCCGTGGACAGAAAGAAAGGAGGGGAGGGGCCGGTGTTGTGGCGCAGTAGGTTAAGCCACCGTCTGTGGTGCCGGCATCCCCTATGGACACTGGTTCTAGTCCCGGCTGCTCCACTTCTGATCCAGCTCTCTGCTATGGCCTGGGAAAGCAGTGGAAGACGGCCCAAGTCCTTGGGCCCCTGCACCTTGCGGGAGACCCAGAAAATGCTCCTGGCTCCTGGCTTTGGATCGGCCCAGCTCTGGCTGTTTTGGCCATCTGGGGAGTGAACCAGCGGATGGAGGATCTTTCTCTCTGTCTCCCTCTCACTGTCTGTAACGCTACCTCTCAAATAAATAAAAATGTTAAAAAAAAAGAAAGGAGGGGAGGGGTAAGAAAGTGGGTGGACTGAGATGAACAATGAAAAGGAGAGAGAGAGAGAGAGAGAGAGAGAGAAGGAGTGAGAAAACGAAGGAGACAGGGATGGGGGAAGGAGGCAGAGGAGGAAGGGGGAAAGAAAGGCAGAAATGCTGAAGCAGGTAGCTGAGACTGTAGAGAGTGGCTCAGGCCTTCAAAGGTTTATTTAATGAAAAGGCAGAGTGACAGAGAGAGGCAGACACAGCAAGAGAGAGACCTCCCATGTGCTGGTTCACTCTCTGAAAGCCTGCAACAGCCCGGGCTGGGCCGGGTCAAAGGCAGGAGCCAGATCCCTTCCCGGTCTTCCACGTGGGTGGCAGGGACCCAAGCCCCTGAGCCACCCCTGCTGTCTCCCAGGGTGTGCACTAGCAGGAGGCTGGACCAAGAGTGGAGCAGCCAAGACTGGAAGCAGAAACTCTGACACAGGACGAAGGCATCTCAGGCGGCGGCTTAACCCCCGGTGCACGACACCTGCTTCTCCTCCCTGAATGACTGTTCTCGGACTTTTGGCTAAAGCAGGTGTTCCAAGGAGCCTGGAGGTCATTCTGGGCAACCCAGCCAGCGGACCCCCTTTCCAGGGAGGGAAGCAGGGGCCTGGGTGTGCTGGGCAGCCACGTGTGGAAACCACTTCATGTCGTCTGTAGCTCAGGGTTCAATCTGTGAGATGGCGGCAGACACTGGTGCAGAGGTAGGGAGGTTGCACAGAGATGCACTGGGGTGGGGGTGGTCGGGGCCTGCGGTCTTGTGCGTCCAGGCAGCTGGCAGGCCCTCTGCTGGTGGCCTCTGGCTCCTCCTCCTGGAAGGACCGTGGTGGGTCCGTCCCTCCAGGGGCCTGTTGCTGGGCGGGGATGTGACCTCTTGGCCTGTGGGTTGTGAACAGGTGTGGCAGGTGTCATTTTCTCACTGGAACAATTAGTTTCTGACCAGGTGCCGTCCAGAGCTGGCTTTCTCCCCAGCATGGCGCCTTCTGTGTCCGAGACACAGTGGCTGCCGTCAGCCTGGCTCCTGGTGCCTGTAGTACACAGGGTGTCCTTGCAGAGATGGGCACAAACCGCGGTTCTCTTGTGTGGAGTCGCCGAGGCTTCCTGGCGTGGGTTCCCTCGTGTCAGCCAGCTTAACGTGACCGTCACAGCTGCGGGAGCAGCATGCAACATATACCGATCACCTCATTAATAAAAAGGGAGCCTTGCGAATGAACGGCTTTTGAAGGCGAGGTCTGTGTGAGGAGATAGAGGAGGGCGGATCAGGTAACCGGAGGCCGCTGTAAGATTCTGATTCTTCCAAAGGCGCCAGGAGCCAAAAACATAATTGGGGTTTGCAGCCTGGGGCTGAGGTCCCTGTCACACCTGTCACACCTGTGCACCTGTGTCCTTCCTGATGGCCCAGATGAGGAGATGCCCCGCCTCCAGCTACTGACGCCCTGATGACGGACACTGCAGGCAGACGGGGCCGGCAAGGACGCGGGAGGACCACACGGGGCCGTGCACTTCATCTTGGCAGGGAAGGGACTTTTGGGGTGTCAGAGAAGGATTTGAGCAGCACACAGAGATGAAGGTCTCTTTGGGGAAAGGCTTTGGGGTCGGCCAAAGGGGTTGTGCACAGTCGGGGTGTGGGTGCGTGCCGGCGGCGCCAGCGCCCAGGAATCACACTCTTTCTCTGGGTCTAGTTATCTATTTGAAAAGCAGAGACGGAGGGCTCCCACCTGCTGGTGCACTCCCCAGTGTTGGGACCCAGACGCCCACTCTGGCGCAGCAGGGGCCCTGTCCACCGCCTCTCATAGGTACTGGAGGGTCTCCTTTGTGGCAGGAGCTGCCCAAGCCTACTCCTGTAGCCAGAGTCCCACACACGGCCCGAGTTTCCTCCCTATACCGGGGTCTCCGAAAAGTTCATGGAAAACGTGTATCATTGAAAGGCTATGCATGTATCTCAAGGGTTTTGGCACCGAGATGAAGCTGCCTTTTGGGCCTCGTTTTCCGTGAACATTTGAGGCCGCCCGTTCCTCCTGCTGTGCAGTCCCATCCTGCCCTTGCTCGTCTCTGCACCTGCTGACCCGCAGCCCCTGCCGGCCGCTCCCACACTCCCCCCGGGAACCCCCGGGTGGCCCAGCTGTGTGGTACCACGGTTCCCTGTGGATGGCGCCAGCAGGGGAGGTGCCGGCTCTTTTCCGGGGGGCCCACGGGACCCAGCCCAGGGGCTGCAAGTCATGGCCGCGGCTGTCTGGAGCGCACCCTGCTCCTTGTTGCTGCCAAGGGTGCTCCGGGGCAGACGGGGTGGGGCACTGCAGCCCCTGGGGAAAAATCCCCTCTTCTGCGCTTCAGCAGGTGCGGCCCAAGCCGGGCCCGTGCCAGCCTCGAAGGGACGTCCAATGCAGGCCGTGGAAGGTGTCCCGTTCTAGAAGGTCCGGGTTTGGATAGGACCCCCTCCGCGTGGAGAGGCTGAGATCGCAGCCCATACAGCACAAGGAGCTACTGGCACGGCGCCCCGGCCTGCAGACGCCACCTCAGCGCTGGGACCCAGCCGTGTCCGGAGCCGGGTCCCTCACGTTTCCACGAGCCCCCCACGTCCTTTCTTGTTTAGCCTAGGGGAGGCATCGGTCAGCGTCCCAGTGTCCGCGTGCAGTGCAGGTCACAGGCCAGGCCCAGGGACGCTCGTGGCTGGGACGCCAGCAGGGCGGGCACTGAGCTCTGCTGTGCGTGCCTGTGCTGCCCCCCGACCTGGAGTGGGGGCTTCATCGGAGCCCAGTTATGCAGCCGTGCGGACCCCTGCCCAAGGCCCGGTGGTCAGCAGTA